AGTGATTAAGGGAGTCAGGTTAGAGATATGTAGCTATTGCTAGGGTTCTGATTTCTCAAGGCTGAGACCATGCCGGGAAAAATTCTCGTACAAACATTTAATTTTTGCAATGCAATGCGCTTTACAGATTTCTACTTATTGTTCCACATGTCACTAAGCTGCCCTTAGGAGTACAATGAAGCTCAGCTTCCACACATGTTTTTGTGCCAGTAATGCTACATCTTCTACATAATTATAAGGAATATTCATCTTTTGTCTGTAGCCCAAAACACCGTGGCAGCATAAAATTTTCATGGTTTAGGAACAAAATTCTAGGTGATCTCTTGGAATGCAAGGCAAAACATTTTTACATTGCTCCCTAGTTGAGTAGGTTCTTACATGTCAAGTCATGCGTTTTAGATCTCTACCCTGTCTCGATGCTTGATTTTCAGGTTGGAAACAAAATTCCCTTAAAGTGGTTATTCAGGCTAGAATGTGACCTAAATACTCTAGAGACCAGAGTTTTATACTGCTTAGTTTGCCAACCATGTTCATGACATATTTTAAGTCAATGACATTTTCTAGAATGTTTGCTCATCTTCAAGATACATTCTGTAGTGATGTCCTATAAAATGTCAGTTAAAGAACATTGCAGTTGATACTAATTTTAATGCTTCTTACCTGATGTTAGTAATGAGAGATCTCAATTTTTAAAAAATATTTTTAAAAATACAAATAGTTTCTAAGAAATATTTGAACATGGTGAAAGAATTATCTAAAGTTTCTTTTCTCGTTTTTCTTCTTTGAAATGAGCACATCTACATTTATATTTATTTACATTGGGGACAGGCAATCACTCCTACATCAGTCTGGTATAGCCTATGGACTCCTTTCCAGAATACTTTTTAAAACTAAGTAACAGAAAATATATAGGATTATAAATAAATAAAGTATATTGGAATATATTAGTGCAGGTTCACAGACCTGAAGGTTCTATAAATCTAAGTTGAGAATCTAATCTTATACAATCTCTATATAAAGGCTTTATTCACAAGTGAGTTCAAGGCATTTTAAAAAAGCGTGTTAGAAGGTGTATTGGCAGGGGATACAAATTTAGATATTCATAGAGCTAGTCAGGTAACGGGAGTACTGGCAGGCAGGGTGGCAGTGCCTGTATGACTGGTGGCGATTGTGACAAAATGTGAAGTGCATGCCCTGTATAAAGGAAGTAGCCTTTATTAAGGTCTAACAGATTTTTGCCACGTGGGAATGGCAAATCTATATGGCTATATATTCTCCTTCTTCAAGAGAAGGCAAGCATCTGGATTTTTATATAATACTTATTAATGATGGCTAGAGATAAAAATAATACTGGGAAAAGGAAAGATACCTTTTACCAGATTTTCCCAGAGGGCTGCAAACTCACAACTTCAGAAAAGTAAGAGGAATTAGAAGAAATTAATTACTCATATTTTATGTCTTTTTTTTACTATCAGTATCTTTATTACATTTATTTTGAAAACATAAGAATTAATTTAAGTGTAATTCTTTCCTAGATTGGTAGCATGCTGTCCAAGAAAATCAGAGGCTTCGGGAGCTAAATTGCTTTTAATTATTCCACCAAACGTTTATTGAAAACCTGCTTCTATGTGCCAGGCATATACAAGTTGGTAAGAATATGAAGATTAAGACATTGTCTTTGTTCCCGGAGCTTACAGACCAGTGTGGAAAGAGTTATATCAAAAGATTATAATGTAATCTGTTAAGGCCAATCATAGAGATATGTAAAAAGTACAAAGGGAGTAGCAATGCCTTTCCAGGAATTTGAGAGGGATTCTCAGAGGAAAGATCTCTTTGAGTAGATCTTTGTACCAAGGGGCCCAGATTATTAATGATCCGATAAGTTATTATGAAGAGTTGGGCAAGAATTCTGAATAGGAAAGCGGAATGTTCAAATTTTTATGATCATTTTGGCTGCACTATAGAATATGGCCTACAGAAGGAGACAGAGTAGAAAATGAAGCCTTGAAAGATGAGAATTTCAATAGTTTAGACAGTAAACTATAGACGCAGCAGGAGGCAGGAAGGAAGATTACTTGGTTGGAAAGATATTTAGGAATAGAAACAACAGAAATTAGTGGTCGGTTTCATACTAATAGTCAGAGTGGCAAGAGAGGGAAGAGTTGAGAATGACACTTGAGAAGTAGTCTAGAATAAAATTTAGAGCATAGTCCCTGGAGCCAGACTACTTGAGTTCAAATCGTAATTCTTCCACTCATTTGCTGTGTGACTTTAAGCAAGTTATTTATCCTCTCTGAGCCTCGATTTCATATAAATGTCAGTATTCTTATAACAGTGTTTACAGTTGTGCCTGAACATAATAACTATTATTATTATTAATTATTATAATTCTGGTTAGGATGGTGGTATCATTCAATTTGTTTTAGAAGATTAAATATTGCATTTGAAGTGCATTTAGAAGTGCTAGCTTCGCATAGTTGAATATGTGAATCTTGGGTTGAGAAAAAACTTCATTAGCACAGTGATAAGGATTAGAGCCTCTTATTTGTAAAGATGAAATAGCCTAAGGCATTTTGGGGGAATTCAACAATTTTATATAATTCAATTGTGCTGAGTAACTGAAAAACTGCTTCATATATCAGTAGAGCAAAAACAGATATTTGTTTCTATAGTTTTGTTATGATGTGAGAACAAAAATTACCCTTTTTTCTTCTAATTTTCCTAAAGAAATGGAGCTGGTAATTATTGCCAATATTGTATTCACACAAATGAAAGGTAATAATGTCTAAATGCCTTCCTTACTCTATATTCTACTGTAGTTATTTTCCTTTACACTTTATCTTTGAGTCTAAAAACTGTGGGGATGAAACCTAAATGTAAAAATAATTTTAAGAGAAGGATATTTGTATCTTTATAAAGAAATACCTTCTGTTATTAATAACAGTGGTATTATGAATAAGTCTAGTTATTTTGACACTGTAGAGTGTAAAGTATAAAATGTTAAGAGTGTTGACTTTGGAATCAAGTCCCGACTCTACCGCTTATTAGATATGAGGTCCAGAGAAAATCACTTACATTTCTAAGCCTCCATTTTCTCATATGGAAAAAGAATAGACTGCTGTCTCTTGAGATTTTTTTAGGATTGGGGAAAATAACGTATATAAGGGGCTTAACGCAGTGCCCCTTAAAACAATGTTATGATATTTCACCTTTTATCTCTCCATAGTGGGTAAGCATGAGAAAGTTTAAGAGAATTGTTTTAAAAAGAATAGGTACTTTTAGAAGGATGAGTCTTTTTATATACCAACAAAAACCTTTAAGGTCTTTTTAGCTATGAAGCCTTGTCCAAGCTCTAATAGACTTCCAAAAGAACCAGCAGCCAGAGCCATAAATTTCTAAGACACAAGGACTGAGACAACTTTGTGCTTCTCATAGTTGGAGGCTAGCCAATATGTTTCTTCATCACCAATAAAATAAATGAATCATAAAATAGTATTTCTCAAAATCTATATCCAAATAAAAGCCATATAATTAATTACCAATGACTTACACATAAATGATTTCACTAATAACATATCACAGGTATCTTTATCACATTATCAAATTTCTTTATTGACCTGATATTTTACAAATATGAAAAAAAAACAAATTATTTAAAAAATATATTTGTCTTTCATTTCACATTAAATTAGAGCAAAGATTTATAAAATATACTGAAATTATCTGGTGAAAAAATCCTTATAAATTCATCTAAGTTTCAAAGTACATAGTAGTTTCTCATTTTCAATTTAAAATTGAATAAAAACAAGGCTGAAAATGCCTTATCCTGTTATTTGCATTGAATCTTTATGAAATATTACTATGTTTTGATGTTGGCAAAATGGTCACTAAAAATGGAATACAAGACAATTCAGAAAAATGGAATCCCATAAAATATGATAGTATTATAGATCTTAAAACCACCACTATATATTTTCCTTATCACACTAAAAACAGAAATATACAAACCACTTTGTTTCACCTACAGAATAATTCAATTAAGAGTGCTTATAATTTAACATCAGGAATAATAGTTTAAGCCAAGGGGGTAGTAAACTGCAAAAAAACATAAATCTACAAAGTATATGCTACGGAAAGTATTCCACTCTCTCAATCCTGAAAAGGTAGTTCCTTTTTTTACTACAGAGAGGAAATTATTACCTAAATTAATGGAAAAAATATGAATTTACCTTCAAGAAAAACACACACACACACACACAAACACACACGTTCACACACAAGTGCACACTAGAAAACTAAGCACTTTTCACAAGAGAAAGACCTATCTGAATCCAGAATATTATTTAGTACTTGCCTTGGGAAAATTAAAATTAGACTTCTCAACAGTTTAAATTTCTTATTGAGAAATAAATGCAGTGCATAATGTGTTACAGAATAAAATCGACATGCACAGTGAAACACATAAGCTCTAAGGGCATACAAGATTCTCTTTCCAAATAATGATCTTGGCAAAGAGCCTCCTTTATGTACAAAAACTATGTTCCTTGCTTATAGCAGCTCTCCAGGCTGCAAGAGGTAATGTGTGCTGCTAACTCGGTTTACAAATGAAGTGTTCAAGCCAGGAGATATTTTATAGTTTAATTCAGTGAAAGCAGAAAACTATATTAGCAAGGTCAAGCTGTAATAACTCATTCTCCAATAATTACTGATCTCGTACTGTTATATAGTATGAATTTTAACATTGCAAATATGTAATGTCATTCAAAAATTGGTTCAATTACTAATAGCTATAAAAATAGCAAAAAAAAAAAGACAACTAGTAAAACATACATAGTTATACAGATATTCAGTACACAAATATTCAATATGTTTATTCCCCCAGAGTCAATTAAATATCCATTTCATTAGCTCAGTTGTAGATCTGAGGTTACAATACTCTTTCACTAAAGCAAAGTAACTTTATTCTGCATAAAATGGGAAAATCAAATGTAGTACATTACCTTGTGTCACCTGTTGAATTGCCAACATTATCCCAGACACGGTATCTGGAAGCAAGTTTTCTTTCAGATTGTAATGTGGCGCCCATTCCAAAATAGGTAGCCGCCTTATACACCACTGTTTAAAGTCTTCACAATGGGGGATATGCATCTTGTTCCAGAGCACACTTTTCTTTTTCCTCTTTGCCCCTGTCATTTTTCAGATTACCTCTTATAGAAGTAAACTTTAGACAAGCAAACAATCGTTGCAGAACACCTCCTTTCAGCACCAGGCTCCAATTCGTCTGTGGTTAACAATGTCAAAGCTATTCAAAAAATAAATCAATGTAAGAGAAGGTCAGAGAGAGAGATTAACAGAAGCATTTAAATATATGCAGCCAGGCTGTATATCTAAATATGGTGCAATTAATTATTCTAGATAAAAAATAAAGATTAAAACCTTGAATTCTTATCTGAATGAGATGGAGAGAAGTGGTTCCTGTTAGTGTAATATTTTTCCGGTCTTGGAAAAGAAATGGATTCAGTGTTAAGTTGGTCTACAGCTTTCTCACCAATAAGTTCCCTTATATTCACTCCAGTCTTATTTTTTGGAGGGGGCTCCAATCCCAATGGCTAATGTAGTTTTGGGCGTGTGTTGGAAGTGAGCTGGGTTATGCTAATAAAATCAGGAAGCATTCAGCTAGTTCAGTCTCTCTCTACAAGATATGTAAAAACATAAAATTGCCAGAGGAGTCTGTTCTGAAAAGTAAAATCAGAGAATCCGGACTTATTTCTTTGAGAAGTGTATATTTTCAATATTATCAAATGACTACCAGTTCTACAAAATTCAGAAATATCAGAGAGCCTTGCTAATAGCCTTATCTATTTTTATTCCGTGGGAGATGAGATTTCCATTCATACAGAAACATTCAGACAGACACTGCCCACTCTGGGAACAGAATAGCCAGTTCTCATAAACAAACTGAAATTTCATCTCATAAGCATCACAATGAACAAATATTGGTGGCAACCATTCTTCCCTGTCTCTGAAACTACTTATTCAGTTTTCTCTATTTCTCCAAGTCATACAATTCTATCACTTATAGTTTTGTAAGTGAAATTTCTTAAGGATTAACATATGGTTGAAACTATTTTTTGAAGCATCCTCAACTCTTTTGTGATGCTGCCCTCTTTTCACATAACTTTTTTTGGGGGGAGTGGTCTTTTTTTTAGAAAGGGTGTTACATTTTATAATAAAACAAACAGGATGTCAAATTTTTATTTTATGATTGTTACCCCCAGCTTCAGAAGAAAAACCATAAATACAATAATGAGCTATGCTATTAAGCCAAAAAGCCAACATATTAACTAAATTTGTGAGGCCAAGAAAAAGAATACAATGTTTATAGTTTCCTGTAGCCCTTTTAATGCCTATTTGTCCAGACAATAGAAAGTTTCTGGAAGCCTTCAGAATAACAAAGTACTTGGATCCGTTGGCTATTTCCAAGGTCCCCTGCTCTACATTTTCTCATTGCTTTTAAATTAAGATGAAGAGCTTCCCTGTCAGCTTTCCAAAGATGGTATCTCTGGTTTTCTGTCTGTGTAAAAATATCTTTCTTTTTCAATCCAATGAATCAGAATTATGTAGCAATATATGTATACTTCATTCATATGTGCAGAATAGAATTTGCCTTTTATTTTTCCAATTGTTTGCACTGTGTTAAATTTACAAACTTTTCATTAATTTAGATTTGAAATCTCATTAAAGACTAAGTTGTATAAATTGGTATGAAATGTAAACTTACTACATAAGTAAATTTATCTTTAGTAGAGATATTATGTTGATTTTTCTTCATAAACAGCTACATTTAACTTTGTATTATACACTTCAGTATATAAACAAGGAAACTTAGAAACTACAGGTATACTGAGTATATATTACTTTTATAATCAAAATTAACAATAAAGATATTTTTTCAAAACATCTAGTTCACAAATTCAGATCTATGCTGACAAAATGAGAAGAATAATTGAAAGCTTGACTAAAATCACCAATCAACAGCAATGATTTGTGTAATATCAGTCATTTTTTGAAAACTTCGTGTTACACCCTGAACAAGCCCGATCCCATCTGAACTCGGAAGCTAAGTAGAGTGGGGCCTGGTTAGTACTTGGATGGGAGACCACATAGGAATACCAGGTGCTGTAGGCGTAAGTAAGTAAGTAAGTAAATACATAAATAAAAACTTTGTGTTACATGTTGGTAATAAGAAATTCACAAAAATAGGATTATTACACTTGAAAATGAATCTGTATTGAAATACCTAAACATATTAGTGCCAGCAATTATTATAAAACATCCTAAGACTAGGAGGGAGCAGAAATTACTTCTAATTCAAGGCAAAATGAGATAAATTAATAATTAAGTTACACAATAAGTATTATGGGAGCTCACATGAGGAATAGTTGAATTCCCACTGAGAAAAAAGTCTTCTCACTCTGCATAGACCCTCTGTTCCTACAAATATAGTCACTATCTGCTGCATATTGACTCTTTAGTATATCTCTATACTAATTTCCCTAGTTCCCTGGTCTTATTCCTTGAACTAAACATTTACTCAATTCTTATCTCTTTCATGAAACTTTCCCTGGCTTCCCCACAGTTCTGTTTTTGCTGTACACTCCAAATCCAGGTAACCCTTAAGCTATTCATGGATGTACAGCTGTAGTCATTCTCACTGTCTATTAGTTTTCTTCCTTGAAATCTATTTTATGTGATTTTATCCAGTCAGGCTGATGAGATTGTAACTTCCTTGTAGGGATTATTCATATAACTTGCTTTGCCGCTTTCCTTAAGACTTAATAGAAGGTTCTGCAGACATAGGATCTACTCAGTAAGTATTAATATATGAATTGAATATCTCTACTCCAGAAATTACTCAAGAATTATTTAATCTATTTCAGTATGGTTCCAGGCTGTGCTGTTAAAGAATCAGAAAAAATAAGTGGAGAGAGAAAGAGAGTTAGATATAGTAACGGGGAAAATAAGGAGAGATTTTATCTTTACTTGCTCAGCTTCTCCCCATTCTCTCACAATCTAGGAAAGAGTCTACATGTTTTCAACATAATTCCTTTTTCTTATATCATAGAATCCAGTAAATGGAAAGTGGAAAAACTAGATAGTGAATGTAAAGAAAAGAAGGAGACCAGAGATAGAAAACCTCATAGACTGAGGTTTTAGAGAGTTTTAGACGCATGTGAGAGCCACTAAAGCAATTATGAAGTATGAGGGAACTGAGCCAGGCTTGAATAAGGAAAAATTCTTTTAAGAACTATTGTTTAGGTTATAAATTGGATGGCATTTAATGGTTTTTTAGAGACACTAGTAAGGACTGAAATTCTTCTCACATTTATTTTATTGTGGCATTGTGCTTCTTTGCATATGATCTGTGTGGAGACTAAGACACCTAAAATACTGATTTATAGCCAGATTACATTTAGAAATATAGACTCATAAAGCTTTGAGGCCATCAATGCCATATCCATGAGTACTTCAGGAAGTTGATCAACAGCATTTCTAACAAGAGGACACTACAAAAGGTTCTCATCTGAAGAGGAAAGTGGAGGCTGTTACTAAGGCCATGTCTGTTCACCGAGCCATGTAACTGATATGGGACTACATTCACACAGAGGGAGCATTTTTTACTAAGTCATCCACCAGATAGGGTACCTTTTCTTAATTTATCCAAAATAATTAATCCAACCTCTGGTTTAATTCTTCCAGTGACTAAAATTAACAAGCCCAGAAAAATGGCCCATTCCAATATTCAGACTTTCTAATTGTTAGAACATTTTCCCAATTATTGAGCCAAGATCTGCTACTTAAAATGTCTATTCTTTAGACTTTATCCTAGTCACTGGGACCCTTCAGTTTCAGGATCAATTCATTTAGAGCTATCCCAAAACTCTGATTTTTTTATGTGCTATTTATTTCAGAAAGTAACATTTATGTGTGAATGCACATATACAGGTTGATTACAATTTTGAACAGTGTAGTTCATGTTTTACTCCTGATAAGCCAACTAGTATAGTAGAGTGAACAAAACTTCTGTGCTTCCACTGCTGAGTCTTAATGTGCCTTACTTTGCTTTCTTTGAATTAAGTAGCACTTTCCAGTCTGTTTCTTTATCATGTCTTTTTTTTTCCTGCCATTATTTTATATATTTATTTTAATTCATAATAGGGGCCAAAAGGAGATGGCCTAGGTGAAGTAAAGAAAAGCCTAGGGAAAAGAATTATGTGTATATTCTAATGCATATTTTACAATAATCTAAAGCATTTGAGAAGACATGGGAAAGAAGAAAAAAAGGAGAGAGTAAGAGAGAGAGAGAGAGAGAGAGGGAGAAAGGGAGGGAACATGAGAGGGAGGAAAGAAGGAAGGAAGGAAGGAAGGAAGGAAGGAGGGGAGGGGGGCAGGATGGGGAGGGAAGGGAGGGAGGAAGAGGAAGGAAGGAAGGAAGGAAGGAAGGAAGGAAGGAAGGAAGGAAGGAAGGAAGGAAGGAAGGAAGTAGGTGTTATGGACTGCATGTTTGTGTCCCCTTGATTTTCCTATGTTGAAACTTTAGCAGCCAATAGGATGGTATTAGGAGGTAGAGCATTTGGGAATGAATTAAATTTATATAAGGTCATGAGCATGGAGACTCTTTTATAGGTATCTTTATAAGGAGAGAAAGCGACTAGAGCTCACTCTCTCCGTCATGTGAGGATACGGCAAGAAGATAACTGTCTACTAACCAGGAAGAAAACACTCACCAGACAAGGAATCTTCCAGTGCCTTGATTTGGAACTTCCCAGCTTCCAGAACTGTGAGAAATAAATGTGGTTTTTTTGTTTCAGTCACTCAGTCTATGGTATTTTTGTTACAGCAGTCTGAACAGAGAGAGAGAGAGAGAGAGAGAGAGAGAGAATAAAGAAAGAGAGTTTGTCTTTTGCAATGCATCAAGAATAAGAAAGCAAAGAGGGAGGAAACATAAATAATAAAAGATATTTTAAAAAATAAAGAATAGAAGTTCGTTGAGAATCATTTCTGACCAACAACTGATAAACAGTAAGTAAAATAAACTCTGTCTGGGGACACAACATGACTTAAGATTTGAAGACGCCAAAAGAGACAATTACCCAGTATGGTGCTAGAAATTCATCTCCCTCAGTACTGTATGATTATGGCCCTATAACTGCTGCTTTAGCTGCCATATTTCTATGAATATTAATCTTCTTGCTAAAGGAAATATGTGTTAATTGAAAGATTATGATTGTACGTCTCATGTATTTGCATTTTGTTGGGAGCCGAGCTAACTTGGCGAGCTCTGAGATAAGTGGCACTAAACTATTTTAAATACTCAGTGTTTTCCAAGAAGGGAGTTGTGAGAACTTCATTGTTTTGCAGGATGAGTAATTTGGCTGACCTTGGGTCTTGACTGCTGTTTTCTCATTGCAATGCTATAAGTAGTGTGTGCTAAATAAACTCGGGGACACAGCTTGAATCTGTGCTCCCTCCTGCAATTCTGTCTGTCTTCTTTCTTTTCCTCAGTC